AAACAACAAGTATAAGAACCCCCAAAAAATCTACCACCACATAGTAATACTGACAATTCCAACTTTTTTAACAACCAACCTTTTTTTAATAAACAAGCTGCCTCATTTTAAACATTATGATCCCAATTAACAAATCATATGAAACAATTATCAGAAGATATGAAAGACTCACAAAAGACAACCAATAGTTCAACAACAATAACTCCATCTAACTAGTATTCAAGAACTTACTTATCCAATATATTATCTTATTTCACAAAACTGTTTTGCCTATAACAATTTTATTTTACCTAGTAGTATTGAAATTCCACTATGAACGAAATAACTTAGACTAGTTCAATATCTGATATCATACAAATCTTCAAAACTATCAATGCAACCCATACTCACTCTCTAGTATGACAAAAAGCTAATATTACTTGATAATATCTCATAAATATTAAATCTAAACTTAATATAGCCAATTATATATATACTTTTCTGGATAGTAGCACTTTTAGCCTTTTAGCTCACCTTGGAGAGCTACTACCTAACAATCAATCAGATATATTGAAAGTTCTAGAATAGAAGCATTAAACTTTAAAAAAACTAACAACACTATCTTTGCTTTAATTCAACTACTATGACCAAAATCTACAAGACTTCTAACTATGCAATACTTGTAATAAATTCAATAAACAATGCACTAATAAATTAAAATATAGTTAGAAAACAAAATTGTACTATATTTTTTTTTAAACTGTAGTTCTAGACTAGCTTTATACTGTAATAGAACCGGTTTTTTAATAACATATGTTAATTATTAATAAAAATTAATTCAAAATTTTATTAAAAGTTATTTAAAAACCAGTTCTGTTACAGTATAAAGCTAGTCTATAACTACAGTATAAAAAAAACATATACAATTTTGTTTGTTAGTTGTGTAGAAAAATTCAAATTTATATGTGAGATAATCCTTTAAAAAATCTAAAATTAATAATCATCATATATGATCCTAAGTTTTGATCAATTAGTTTATTTAATATCTTAATATATTATGCCTGGTCTGTGTATTAAAAATATATGCACATCAAAGAGTACAAACAATCTATATCAACAACTGCTCCTTGCTCTTCACCAAACCCAATAGGTTATGAGCCACAAAGTGATAATTTGTAAATAAACTCAAGCAACTGCTTCTCAACAACAATATTGCAGAATATAGCTTTTGTACAGATAAAACAACTGAGCTTGTAATGCAAGGTGTTCAACTTGTACTAATTCAAAAAATTGGTAAATGGAACTCTGAATCATTCTACAAATATATCAAAGATTATCCTGCAACAATTGCATTAATACTTACCAATATATACATTGATTGAACCTCAAAACAAAACATTAAAATCATCTAGCTCAACCAAAAAAAAAAAAAATTAATAACAAAAAAAAAAAACAAAAAACAACAATACTATATATATACATATATATATTAAAAAAAAAAAAACCAAATCAAAGATACTAATTATAGATATACAAAAAAAACATATATAAATATATGTATATAATAATAAATAATAATAAGGGTCATGACATATATCGATTTACTATAAGAGCTACCCCTCTTGTATATAGGACAATTTTGGACAATTTTGAACATTTTTTCAAATTAAAATTACTTAAAATTTTATTAAGATAATCTATTTTAATTTTTTCACCAATGAGTCCAGCACCTAAAAAAATATATAATTATATATTTTTTTAAATTACAGTACTTTATTGATTAGTTAAACATAGAACATAGGCTTGAACGATTTTGGACAATTTTGGATGTTGGACATTTTACATAGTGTGAACACGTTCTATATATAACACTGCCCCTTTCCCTCTCACATAAGATCTATATGATTGGCCAATTTAAAAATTATATAATTTTTTTGTATAACATAAAATATTGCTCAACCTCTCACTCTTAAAAATATTATGTAATATAGTAAATATCAGATCAGTACTCTAACTATTACAATAATAATACTGTAATAATAATAGACAAATATATATGCTACTATATACAAATAACAGAATCATGAATCTTTTTTGAAACATGCTCATAATTCTGCCATTTTAATAGCCAGCTTGTTTTGGCAAGCAAAAAACCACTAGCTAATATTCATATTAATAATGCCTATCTATTCTCCACCTGGTTTGCTTTAGCAACTTCTACACAATTATCATTGCTAATTTCAGAATATTTGCTGCTTCAGTGTCTATTACTTCACACATATATTACTACAATATCTATAAATTAAATATAAATTATTTTCTGGTATGCAATGTTTTTCATAAAAGTTAACTAAAAGTTAACTATTTGAAAAATAAGCTAAGCGCCACAGTTAGAGTACTACTGTAGCACCATCTACTTGGGCTGAGATCGGCATATACACCAATGCACCAGCTATTCAAGAGGGTTATACAAAAGTGCAATAGTTCAACACAACCCATCAGACTTTCATATGAGTATATAAGCCCATTACCCGAGGCATAATCGACACACCACCACTATAGTACAGTATATAAATACAATTGATCACATACTCTCTCTCTCTTTCTCTATAAACAAAACAAATATTGTTAAAACCTTTTCACCCCACCTATCTTCCCAAAAACTCGACAACAGATACGTGGAACATGCTTATGATTTTGCCATTTTAACAGCTGGCTTACTTTGGCAGATGGGAAACCACTAGCTAATATTCATATTAATAATGCCTATCTATTCTCTACCTGGTCTGCTTTGGCAACTCCCATGCAATTATTATTGCTAATTTCAGAATATTTGCTGCTTCAGTGCCTATTACTTCACACATGTATCACTATAAATCAAATAATAAATTATTTCCTGGCTTCTTGTTTAGCCAGCCCCACCCAAACTTTGGAAGCATACAATGTTTTTTCATAGCTAGTTTTTTATATAAAATAATATAGAGCTAACATAAGGTCCCAATTTTAGTTCTTATGAGGTTTTCAGGGGTCCTGAACATTTTTACTTAAAGTACCCGATCCTGTTTACTTAGTACGTTTTTGAGATATAAGCATCCCGGTAATAGTCACCGCTAGTTAGTAAAATTCATAAAAAATAATTATACTTGTGACAAATTTGACATCTCAGATTTTATTAATGAACCCCAATGTACTGTACGTATCTTAACGCAGCTTATATTTGATAAGCATTTAAAATTTTGTAAGAACTTTTGTTTGGAGATATTTCAGCACCACCAAACCAAAATTCTATGAACTTTTTAATTTTAATAGATACAGTACATACTATAAATAAAAAAGAAAGTAAAAATTAAATAGAATAAAACAAGAAATGAGATTTAATCTATTCTAGAATACCATATAATAAAAAATGAACGGAAGCAATCTTAAACTTAGTCTCTGCTCTAACATCAAACTGATCTTTAATTTATTTAATAATTAAAAAGTACCACTAATTTATATTAACTCTTCTCATTAAATCTATAAGTCTTATAAGTCGCAATTTCATATTACTAGCCTATATTATAGTCAAGTTGTTTTATTAGTTGTGATCACGAAGAATAAGATTTCACAAATAAAAGGCAGCTTAAATTGCCGAGTTTAATTGACTATTGTATATGTAGGCTAAACTTAACGTCTAAACATACCTCTCATCTGACTTCTGAATTACTTCGTGGATTACAGAATTATTTTAATAGTATATAAAACGAAGCCTCTACTTTCAAATTTTTTTTGCTACTCGTGGTCTACTCGTAACATTTCATCCGATCATCCAATCAAAATTAAAGCCCGCTATGCTGATACTAATTGATAAATTATTTTTACTGGGCATAATCTATTGCCGAAATTTCCAACAAAGAAAAATTCGTATAACACAATAAACGTGACTTGGACAGGCATGTGGTCATGTGATCCAGGTAATCGCCAAATTCGGAATAATCAAAGACATAGCGATAGCGATAGTGGGGAATTAAGGTAATAAGAACGTTTTAGGAATTTAGGAGGGTTTTGACAATAAATACGTTTCGGGTAATAAGGGCTATTTAGGCATTATAGACGATTCTGTAGTGTAGTCAGCAAATAATCAAATAAACGTTTATTATAAATAAAGGTCATTCTGGCCCTTCGGGAAGAATAACTCCCGCTTTGTTCACAATAAAAGTCTATTACCAAATCACCTCTATTAAATAAAAGTGCATATATACAATACAATACACCGTTTGAACTACACTACGCTATATTACAAATATTCGTTCACTCTATTACAACCACTGCACGACGTCTGGTTCCGTGAAGCGACAGACCCAATTTCTCGATTGAATCAGGTTTGTTTTTCTTTTTATATATTGAAATAAAATAAAAACCGAGCCGCCGCAAACATTGTTCTTGACCCATTGTTCTTGGCCTATCCTAAAAAAAACCAGATTTATATTTAAGTCGAACAAATTACTAGTTTGTATAAATGATTGTATATAAAGAGTTAAAATATGTAAAAAAAAAAAAAATGTTTATTATTATTTACCGGTAATATACATTAGAAGTAATAATATTACGTATATAAAAAATTTTTGTATATACTTCTGTATAATATAATTTTACAATTTTAAAAATCTACATACTACTTAATAGAGACTTGAGAACTTTTTTGGGATACTTACGACTGTACGTACAGTACCAGATACGTGCATTTAGCAATTAAGTTTTTAAAATAGAAAGTAACATTATATAATTTCAATTGAAATTAACTAAATTAAATTATGCAACATTAAATTTCTAATTATGGTATAAAATCTTTTACATAGAACCCCTGAAATTTTTTTTTGTAGTGTGTGCGTTTTATTTTCATTTCACAAAAGGAAAATCCTATGTCGTGTTAGAGTCGTGTTTTATAATAAATACATCAACTCCACGGTAGCACCAAGCTGTTTCGTATTAATATCCTATATAAACAAGCTTTATAATTTCGCGACCCTTCAGTCAACACAATGTCTGAAATAAAGGTGAAAAAAAAAAGCTATGGCATAAACTTCGTTAAATATTTTGCTTCAGTCTGCTATTCATTTTTTTAACTGATAAGTCTGATAGGTCGAAAGTGCAGCACAACTTGAAAATGAAATAAAAAAGATTCAAGAAACATTTCAAGTAAAAGAAACAGAGCATACGTGGCAATTGTTTGATGATGCATTAAAACGTCTAGTCTCTTTGAGTCGTGGTGGAGCTATCAACTATGAAAAAATATTCATATCCGGGATAAAATCTTTGAGACAGCCTATTCTAGATTCGGTAATGTAAAAATTGTGCAAATCAGACATATGAATAATTAAAGTTTTTCAAATACAATTTACTGGTCTATTTAAACAGGTACTCACTGATCGGACACGGTTGTCTGGAACAGCAACAGAATTGGTTGAAGAAATTGGCAAAGTTCTCGGGCCAAAATTCGATACTCTAGCGGAATCGTTTGTGCCAGCCATCCTGAAATTATGCACGCGCGCAAATAAAATTTTTATTAGCAGAGCTCAAAAATGCATGATGACAATAATCCGAGAGTGTCATGTTTCGAATTTAATTCCAAAATTTAAAGAGGCATTACAAGGTCAAAGTAAAATATTGAGAACTTGTGCATCTGAATTTGTTCTCGTTAGTATTGAGGTAAATGATGTTGGAAATTTGAATAATTATATTGCTGATTTGGAGTGGATTATTAGGGAGGGAGCAATAGACTCTGCGCCTGCTGTCAGGACGACATCAAAGAAAATTTTCGAAATTTACAAAGTAAAATTTGATTTACGACTAGAGGAGTGAGTTCCATTTTATGTTCATACAAAATCTTGACAGTATGCTTTATGTTAACACAAAATTTCATAAATTTAGGTTTGTCAACACTTTATCTTCTACTGCGAAGAAGAATTTGGGAATTCAAGAACCAACGAGTAATCAGCGTCCACGTATTAAAACATTACAAAAAAGTCGTAAATATAATACGCAACAAATGCAGGGTGACGTTATCATATATACAAAGGATGACGAAAGTGCAAAAGACAAAAAACTAAATAAATACTCAAAGGATGCCGAAAATTCAAAAGACAAAAAACTAAATAAATACACGAAGGATGACGAGAATGCAAAAGATAAAAAACTAAATAGATACACGAAAGATGATGAAAATGCAAAAGACAAAAAACTAAATGTCATATCTGAAAAAACGGCAACGATTCAAACGTGGACAGTGGATGTGAGACTACCACCATCAAAAAATCGAACAGAAAATAAACCCGCACGACCACCGTCCCGTACTGTAAGCGTACCAGTCGCAAGCTCCGATAAAACCAAACCTATACAAGCATCAACAAACAAGAAAAGATCTACACCGTTTTCATCATATAAACCACCTTTAGTTAAAGAGTCAAAAGCTGCTATAAATTCTATACCAAAACCATCAAAAGTGACAGCAACTGCCACGTCTACAACAGAGGGATTGACAACTACGGCCACTATATCGGTATCAATCTCTGCGGCATCTACTCCGTATCGAACGCAATCAATGTCCAAATATGCGCCATCAAGCGCACGTATTATCGGCAGAACAAAAGATCGTCAATATACACCATACGAAAAGCCGGCTATCGGATTCGCTACGCGAAAAAATAAAAATCGAATACCGCAAGATTCTTCGGAATTGAGTGCCAAATTGAATGCTTATGCCAACAAAATAATTGAAGAATTGACTGGACAACATGAAAATAATGGTGAAGATAACGAAAACATGACTTTAGAACTTATTCCAAAATTAGAGGAACAAATTTTCGAGACAAATACACCAAGAAGTAGGGTATCACTTAAACAAGCATTATCAGCCACGCAATCGATTACTCCTATGCCATCTAAGCCTTCTCCTCCACTTACATTTATTGATCCTGTAAAGTTTTTGGAAGATGTTCGTGGGACTGAAGTTAATGTTTCTGTTAGTGATCCTGGCCAATAACTTTCGGCTCAACCGGTCGATTTTTTCAAAATCGGCTGATCGATCTTAATAATAATAATTCACTCTTTTGATCTTTACAAAAAAAACAATTTTTTTTTGTATATATTGAGCCATACTTTCTTGTGTAATATCAAATATACTTTATATCAGAATACTGTACGCAAACGATGTATCTCAAATAATGAATTTTATCAATGTGAAATGAACAATATTTTAATTTGCATTAAGTTTTTTAATTGGCTCTACTGTATTATCAGTGTTGGCTTGACCAGACCATTGGACCTGACCAATTTGACCGGTCTGGTCAAAGGATCTGTACTGGTCAAGTAGTATATTTATAATTTATTATATATATATATTTATATAATAGATTTGACCAGTAAATTTTGTCCGACCGTTAATTTGCCTAACACAGATATAAATTAGGGAATTGACTCGAGTTGATCGATGATTGATCGAGCATACATAATCGATCAATTATTGGATCAATTATTGATCGATTATATTATATAGAGATTGACCCGCGCTCCATCCGTTATAAAAGCAAAGTTACTTTAATGACAAGTAGCCCGAGTTACCCAAGTAGCGATAGTCATGATCCAGTTGATATGTAGATCTACCTGGGTGACTCTTATACGGGGACAATCTATACTATCCCTTAAACTGTATTCCAGGCAAATTTGCCTGGAATTTTGAAAAGTATTTACAATTTTTTAAATAAAATTAAA